TAACCTCAACTCTGGGACTGGCTGGTGAAATCTCCAGCGATGATAAAGTCTGTGTCTGGGACTTCGATGGTTTCTAGCACAAGATTTTTATCGTTTGGACAATAATAGTTCACTAGATCCAGATTGCCTCTGCTGGTGCCTATCCTGTTGTGGATATATTCAGCTTCTCCTGTAAATTTCTTGATTTCAACGGTATTTAAGTTATTTCTTACCAGGGTCAATACTTCTCCTTTTTTTCTTCCTTGGCGATCGTTTCTGAAGCACTGATATCCTCTTACCTTAAAGCTTGCCTCCTCCTGCAGGTGTGTTTCCTGTATACAGCTGATGTATATTTCATTATCTTTTAGAAAGTTTTACAGCTCTGTTTTCTTGTTTGAGATTCTTTCGGCATTCCAGTGCATGATATTAAGACTTTTCTTTAACTGTTTTGTATTTGTGTTTCCAGTCACTTTTCTTCCTCATCTCCTGGCACTCCAAGACGATGGAAGGCCCTCCAGTCGCTGGGGTGGACCCCTTCGAGGCTTGGGGCCTGGCACTGCACCTGCCTGGTGGGTCCTCACAGGGCGAGCACCATATCGAACGTTACCTACTTCAAGTGTCATATATTGCAGTATTACGTGGTATTGTGATTCTCTAGAGTGCGCCTTGTGGCCCAATACCTCCGATTTCAGCACTCCAGCTTCAAGTCCAAGGACCTACCCTGGGAGCACAGGGAGGAATTGTTACCGGATCCCACCCGTGGCCAGGACTTAATGCGGTCCTTTTCCGCATGATGCTCCCGTAAGAAGACTCCTAGGGCATTTAATGACGTGATAGTGCCACCTGCCACCTCACCCCATCCTGGTAAGAGCATCGCCAGTTGGTCCGGGGCTGCTTATTCAACATATTCACAGCTAACCTCTATTTCAGTGGCCGTTCTCTATCCGCCACCTGGGACCCGCCGGGTCGAGGATGGTCACCCCAGCCCAGGCTGTGAGGTTGAAGTTCAAGGTTCTTTGATTTTATGCCCAACAAAGACCGACCCCTGTTGTGACGTGAGAGCGAGCCCCAAAGTATCAACCCTTTCGACACTGTTCGAACGAATAGCTTATAATTAGTAATCGGGTGTGCGTACACTGCACAAGTAATTGAATGCCCTCGAGAATCGTCCTTCCCAACACACACACACACA